CGTGGCAATGTGGCGCGGTGTGCGCTGTGCGTGCGTGCGTGCGTGCGTGCGTTGCGGTGTGCGTGCGTGCTGTGCGCCGTGTACGTGCGGTGGCGTGCGTGCAGTGTGCGTGCGTGCGCGTGTACAGTGCGTGCGTGGTGCGTGTGCGTGCGTTGCGTGCGTGTGTACGTGGCGTGCGTGCCGCGTTGTTTGGTGTGCGCGTTTGCGTGTGTGTGCGCGGTTTTGTGTGGCGTGCGTGCGTGCGTGCGTGCGTGCGTGTGTGTGTGTGTGTGTGTGGCGCGTTGTGGCGCGTGCGTGCGTGGCGTGGCGTGGCGTGCTTGTGTGGCGTGGCGGTGCGTGCGTGTGTACGTGCTGCGTGGCGTGCCGTGCGGCGTGGCGTGGCGTGCGTGCGAGTAATGCGTGTTTGCCAGGCGAGGATATAACTGTCCGATTTGCGAGACGACGCGCAATGCGCGTGTGTTCTGGCGCTAGGGGGGGACAATGTAGCTACGTGGTTCCTGCGAGCCCGTTTGTTTTGGCGCAGGGCATCGGTGGTGACAGCGAATGAATGATATTATATAGATTTAACGCCCCGTCGACTAGCTTTGCACTCCACGCTCTCTCTTGTCTGTCTCTGCATCTCTCTCTTTCTGCTCTGCGGCCGGGCTTCTCTTTTCTCATCTCTCATTCTCTCTCCTCTTTCTCTTTCTCATCTGCTCTCTCTCTCTGTTACTGATCTCTCTCTGCTCTGCTCTGCCTGTCTCTCTGCTGTATGTCCTGTCTGTCTGTCTGCTTCTCGTCTGCTCTGCTCACTCTGCTCTCTCTGCCTCCCCCTACTCTCTCATCTCTCTCTCTTCTCTTGTGCTTCCTCGGCGCGCCCGACTGTGGCTGAGCCGGGGTCCCCCGGGGTAAATCGTGACAGGCGGTGCGTTAATTAATGAAGAAGGATATGCAAATGAGGATATGCAAATGAGCATGCGTGTGACGTACAATAATTTCCTGTGGCATCTATGAAAGCGAACTGCAACGATTCTCATTTCCTGACTCTATCGCTTGGACGAGAAAGAGTGTGATGAAGACAGAATTGAGAAAGAGAAAGAGGAGTGAAGAGAGAGAGAGCGAGAGAGAGAGAGACGAGAGAGAGAGAATGAGAGAGAAAGAGAGACGAGCAGAGAAGAGAGAGAGAGAGAACGAGAGATAAGAGAGAGCAGAGAGAGCAGAGAGAGAGAGAGGCGAGAGAGAGAGAGAGAGAGATAGAGAAGAAATCATGAGAGAGCGAGAGAGAGAGGAGAGAGAGAGAACGCGAGAGAGGGAGAGGGAAGAGAGAGAGAACCTGAGAGAGAATGAGACAGAGGCGAGCGAGAAAGAAACGAGAGAAAGAAAGCGAGTAGAGAGAAAGAGAGAGCTGGGGGAAGAGGGGGAGAGGAGAGGGGGAGAGGGGGAGAGGGGGAAGAGGGAAGGACCATGCACTAGCTACATACACGAT